GTCGTCGGAGGTTTCCCAGTGGAGATGGGTACCTACAGCTGACAACGCAGCGGATGATGCGACGCGGTCGCAGAACAAGGCGGACCTTAGCCCGGAATCCCGGTGGCTAAGCGGTCCCGCATTTTTGAGGCAGCCAGCGAGCGGCTGGCCAGTGCCTGAGGAGGGAACTGAACGTGTTCCGGATGCATCTGATGACGAGGAGATGCCGAGTGAGTTTGCATTGGTGGCCACAAATGAATTTGTCATTCCGTTCCAGAGATTCTCGAGCTTCAGCCGCCTGGTGAGGACCACAGCCTGGGTCTTGAGGTTTGCGCGTTGGTGCCGCAGACAGAGAAGCGAGCTCGAGGAATACGGACTCACTGCAAAGGAGTGTGAGGCCGCGGAGAACCTGCTGGTCAGGCAGGCCCAATTGGAATCGTTTCCCGATGAAATGAGGTCGGCGAAACGCGGAAAGGAAGTCGCCAGCTCGAGCGAGATTCGAGGTCTGGCGCCGTACATGGATGAACATGGAGTTCTGCGAGTTCATGGCAGAGTTGATGCTGCGCTGTGCATGCCGTACAGTGCGAGGAGGCCTGTGATACTGTCACACAGGCACAGTCTTACTGAGATGATTGTGAGACACTTCCACGCCCAGATAAAGCATCAAAACGTGGATGCGACGATTGCTCAGATCCGGACGAGATTCTGGGTCACGAAGATGAGGCGCATGCTGAAGGAGGTGATCTCGTCGTGCTACGAGTGCAAGTTGCAGCGAACGCGGCCGATGCCGCCGATAATGGCACCCCTTCCAGAGGATCGATTGGAAGCGGGTGGATGGCCATTCAAATATACTGGATTGGACTACTTTGGACCACTGCTGGTGACTGTTGCCCGTCACCGAGAGAAGCGTTGGGTCGCCTTTTTCACGTGTTTGACGACAAGGGCGATTCATCTGGAGCTGGCGCATGACCTGTCGACGGATTCCTGCATAATTGCGATCAGGAACTTCGTCTGCCGTAGAGGACCGGTACATAGACTGCGGAGTGACAACGGCAAGAACTTCGTGGGAGCTGACAGGGAGGCCAGACGATTCGGAGACGTGTTCGAGACGGAGAGAATACAGAGTGAGTTATCCAGCAGGAGCATTGAATGGGTCTTTAATTGCCCATCGAACCCGTCCGAGGGTGGAGTATGGGAGCGGATGGTGCAGTGCGTCAAGCGAGTGCTGCGCCATACATTGAAGGAAGTCGCGCCGAGGGATCACGTATTGGAAAGTCTACTGATCGAGGCGGAGAATGTGGTCAATTCGCGTCCGCTCACCCACTTGCCGGTGGATGCGGACCAGGAGGCGCCGTTGACGCCAAACGACCTGCTCAAGGGAGCAGCTAACCTGCCGAATACGCCTGGTTTGGAGGCGGAGCTGCCCAAGGAGGGTTCTACGCGAAAGCAGTGGAGGATTGCTCGCATGCTGCGAGACCGTTTCTGGAGGAGGTGGGTCCTGGAGTACCTGCCTACGCTGGTGCGCCGCGAGAAGTGGTGCCGGAGAACGGAGCCCATCCGCCAGGGCGATATGGTCTTCGTCTGCGATCCTGCCTTGCCCAGACGAGAGTGGCGCAAGGGCATCGTGGAGGAGGTCTACAGCGGAGCTGATGGAGTCGTCAGACGCGCCAGTGTGCGCGTGAGCGACAACGGACTATCTCGGACAATGTTGCGGCCTGTCTCGAAACTTGCAGTTTTGGATTTGAGTGAAGCGGTTCTTCACGGGGTCGGGGATGTCGACGGCCAAACATTGTAATCGATAGGTAGAATAAGTGTTGGAAGGAAATTCTAGTATTTTGTAAGTTATCCGATGTTGTATGGATTTCTTGGCCCATGAAGTAGGGGCCTACTAATATCGGCACTGTGAATGCCGCCTAAATTGTGCTTTTTCATTGTCTTGTGAATTGTAGGAGGGCACACTGCGGTAAGCTTAAGTTAGTTTAAAAATGTATTAGGCTAATTTAATGTATTCACAGAATAAAACCGCACCCTTGAAGTTATCCCTCTCTTCGGACCTACTTGTGTGGGGGGCCGTTTAAGGCAACTCCGCATGAAGCAAGACAGTGCCCTTAACAAAGTTAAGTGATTGGTGGAGTTTGCATTCAACATCGACAATACCAGGCAAAGAGTGAACTTATCGGCAACTTCTCTTGAGTTTACCAAGATGAGCAGATTCCAATCGCGAAGAGTAGAGATCTTGGAGACTTCTTTGCTTATGAGCTTGAGAGCACGGTGGACTGCGAAGCAGGAGAACTCTGATAGGGGTTTTGATGATTTAGATGAGACGACGATAAATGTTGGGTTTTTTTGTTGGGCTAAAGGGAGTTCTGGGAAATACTCTTGGAATTTTTGATATGGTCTTTTTTTCTTAGCTTTGGGGCTAACGCTAAGACTGGTAAAGCGGTTATCCTCAAGGTTGGGTGGCCCGGGGGCCATGATACCAATTTATATATTTGCACACAAAATGAAAAAAAAAACACACGTGCGCGATAGAAAATTTGAAAAAGGTATTGGTCAAAGAGAGCGAATAGGAAAGAAGCAAATTAGCGAAAACCACTGATAGTTGGAAGGACAACGACGCACAGTAGCGCCTCTCGAACAAAAGGCGTTGCAAAAATCGAAAAAGTCATAATCACAAAATCGATTTAAACCATAAGAAATCGACAGAGAATTTCCCAAGGATTCCGAATCTTTAACCAAAAAAATTTTCAGATTTTTTTTGAGGAAGATATGAGCATTCAAAGTCGAAATTGTTTTCCGTGTATGCGTCATACAACAAAAAATTGGTAAATTAGTCGACTTTCAGGTAATATTACACAAAAACTACATAACCAATGGTCTTGATTTTGCTTTTAAAAGACAGGTATATTCATTACCTCTTATTGAAATTTAAAAAAAGGGTAGTTTTGCGTGGGCTTGTACAGGTAAATCGCTACCTGCCAGGTGTCCATTTTTTTCACCTTTTTCTGGCTAAAGTAGTCTATAACTTCTGAAGCTGCCCAGAGCCGGCGACTACACTATGACTACGCACTGCGTGTGTCTTTCCTGAATCAGAATCCGTTTAGAAAGTCTGCGTCCAGCTGCGACTCTGGCATTGCGAAGCAAAACACTGAAACAACTCAGGGTAAAATATACCAAAATACCGACACAATTTCATACAAACCAACAAAAAATACTAACTGTAGCGCTCACGGTTCTGCAGCGGTTAAACTTAGAACAAAAAAAAATTTTTTTTCAGTTTTCAAATTATTTTTATATAAGCAAATACATTAAAATAAAGATAAAAAATTAAATAAAAAATATTTTTAAAAAATTGTCTTCATTGAGAAAAAAATATTTCTTTACTTTGATACCCTTTAAAAAGGCGAATGAGTGGGCGTGGCAGATTTTCCAATACATATGTTAATTTTACAACAATTACCTGTCAAATGGCGATTAAATTATTTAGTTATCTTGTTTTGTTCAAAAGTTATGATTTTTGCAACGTTAAATGAGAAAAGGCGCTACTGTGCGACGTCCGCACTCGAAGATAGATAGTCGGTGACTGTCTAAAATAATACAAAATGGCCATATCTCAAAAATTATAAAAAAAAAACTTTAGAAAACCAGGCAAGTTTTAATTTTTTTTTCAAAAAATTTATCGAAAATTTGTATGGCAGCTATATGATATAGTCGTGCGATTCGTCCCGTTCCGACATATATAGCAGTGAGAGTAACTATATGCAAAGTTTTATTCAGATAGCTTGAAAACTGAGGGACGGACGGAAGGACGGGCGGATAGACGGGCGGACGGACGAACAGACGGACATGGCTAGATCGGCTCGGCTGTTGATGCTGATCAAGAATATATATACTTTATAGCAGAGATGGGCACGAGATCTAACGGTTTGGGTATCAGCTCGGCCAGAAAAAAAACAATAACAACAACCCCAAGCGTTGCTACGCGTCGCAGCCACGCGCCACACAGAATGTGTGTACACTGACAAAAACTTTTTGAGTAGATCAAGATCTTCAGCCAATTTTGCGTGCATTTATGTCCGCCTAAGAAAAACGAGTGCAAAAGAAATCCAAACGTTTTTTCTTTAGTGCAGAAGTTAACGCCAGCCGCGCAGGTCCCTTTAAAATTGTTCTTGTTTTTGAGAGAATGTGCGAGTTCGGTCGCTTGTGTTTTGTTGTTGCAAACTCGGGACCGCGGCGATGTGCTCGCTACCTGCGCCAAAGGTGGTTGTTTTAGTAAATCTTCACGGTTCGCTGATCGCGAGGACCGACTGCAATGTGCGACTTGCTGGCGCCTCCGAAAAAAGATAACGGTTTGAGCAGTGTGAGCAAATTTAGCCACGGCGTGCCCATCGCTGCTTTATAGGGTCGGAAACGTCTCCTTCACTGCGTTGCAAACTTCTGACTGAAATTATAATACCCTGCAAGGGTATAAAAAAAATTATAAGCTCGCTGTTTTTTTTAACATATGTATTTTCAGATATGGTACATTTTTTATTTTAAAATTTGGGTTATATTTCACGCAAATCGGACAACTATATCATAATGCTGCTATATGAACGATCGGGGAATTAAATTATAAAATAATAAATTAATAGAATTATAATTCCGTAGTTGTTCAACGTATTTTCATCTACTCTAAGATAAGAGCTTTTTTTAAACTTAAAAAAAATTCTTTTTATTAAAACTAAATTATTATATTCTATATAAAAATAAACTATTTTTACATATTTCCTGTTATTTTTCCTATTAATTTGGATCGATTCTTAACTGCAAGCCTATACAAACTTTGGCGTGCCGAAGTTAGCTAGCATTCTTGTTTTTATTTGCAATTTGTAAATTTTATTAGGGATTTATACAGTGAGGATTAAAATGTTTTTTTTTTAATACCAATAATTTGTGCTTAATTATAATCTAACTTACCTTGATAGTTTTCGATGCGCTCGTGCAAAGTTTCCATTTCTTGTGCCATTTCATCTCTTTCCTTTTCTGCCTTTGATTTTAGAATATAAGCTTCATCTAGTTTAACATTTAACTTGTTAATATCCAAATTTAATGAACTGATCATGTTTGCTTTTAGCATCATATCATGCTTTAAGTCTGCCATTGAGTTATTTAATTTAATGATATTACTTCGGAGACTGTCTCGCTCACGTTGTAGTGTCTCTTTGACTCGAAAAACTTCATCTGTTCGACCATTGGCATTTAAAACATCCTTCTCTAATGAATTAATATTGTTTCTGTAAAGTTTGCAAAAATAGTTTAATAAGACAATTTATAATTTATTTAAAAATGAAGACAACATACTTAAGCCTTAAAATTTCACTGTTTAACATCATAACCTTTCGATTCAATTTATACATCCGAGTTGTAGCATTGTTTTGATCTTCTATTGACTTTTTCAGTTTGCTGCTTAATTGACTGACTGCATTTGATTTCTCTTTTTCAATAAACCTGAGCTGCTTAATCATTTCCTCGTTATTTTTCTGATTTTTGGTCAAATCTGCAATGTCATCTTCATATTTGTGCATTGCTTTATTTAAAGCATTAACTTCACTTCTGTATTTATCCAAATGCACCCTTTGCCTGTCGTAGTCAGACATTTTTTGACTTAGTTTTCTTGTTGTCTCTGCTAAATCTCGATTCGCTATATCGAGTTTTATCATGGTTTTTCCGTGAGCCTCTTTTTGTTCTTCCATAGTCTTCATAAGAGCTCGCAGCTTGGATTCTACGTTTAACCGTTCACCCTCAGCAAATTTAGCTCTGGAAGCCATTTTACTCATAGCGTCTTCATTGTTTCGGATGATATATTCTAAGTTTTCGGAATAATATCGGTTGGTAGCTAATCGTTTTTCAAGATCAACAACTTCTCCAGCCAAACGGTCTCGTTCTCGAAGTATTATGTTCTTATATTTGGCAAGATGTCCGAATCTTAAAGGTAAAATGGATTAATACATGAATATATTAAATAAATAAGCTAGCTTGTCGTTTATAATTTAAATTGCAATTGGAAATTGATCGATTTAGACCAAATGAAACCGCTATCTTTACATATGTAAAAATACATAACAATTTTATAAAATTGACTGTTTGCTCCTATAAGAGTTGTGACAATCTTTTGGGGCTGTGATAGCTTAGAGTTGGCCAGGATTCGTCTAAGAAATTATCCGTTTCTTCTCGTGGGACGAGAGAGACCTTGTATTTATTGGACTAGTCAAGCTAACCCGTTGCTAGATTAAAACGCTAGCGAATATGCAGTTAAAGTACATATATTAATAAATATTGAATTCTACAAATTCAAAGATAATGCCGTGCCTTTTTTTCCGAGTCGTCAGTATCTGTGGGGACAAAGACAGGGTAGAAACCCAAAATCATCTTTCACTTTCATAGCGAATGGTCCTATTTGTTTTGCGCTCCGAATTTTGTTGTTTTCTTGTGAGCGTCTTCATTGTTTCGGATAATATATTCTAAGTTTTCGGAATAATATCGGTTGGTAGCTAATCGTTTTTCAAGATCAACAACTTCTCCAGCCAAACGGTCTCGTTCTCTAAGTATTATGTTCTTATATTTGGCAAGATGTTCGAATCTTAAAGGTAAAATAGATTAATACATGAATATATTAAATAAATAAGCTAGCTTGCCCTTTATAATTTAAATTGCAATTGGAAATTGATCGATTTAGACCAAATGAAACCGCTATCTTTACATATGTAAAAATACATAACAATTTTATAAAATTGACTGTTTGCTCCTATAAGAGTTGTGACAATCTTTTGGGGCTGTGATAGCTTAGGGTTGGCCAGGATTCGTCTAAGAAATTATCCGTTTCTTCTCGTGGGACGAGGGAGACCTTGTATTTATTGGACTAGTCAAGCTAACCCGTTGCTAGATTAAAACGCTAGCGAATATGCAGTTAAAGTACATATATTAATAAATATTGAATTCTACAAATTCAAAGATAATGCTGTGCCTTTTTTTCCGAGTCGTCAGTATCTGTGGGGACAAAGACAGGGTAGAAACCCAAAATCATCTTTCACTTTCATAGCGAATGGTCCTATTTGTTTTGCGCTCCGAATTTTTTTGTTTTCTTGTGAGCGTCTTCATTGTTTCGGATAATATATTCTAAGTTTTCGGAATAATATCGGTTGGTAGCTAATCGTTTTTCAAGATCAACAACTTCTCCAGCCAAACGGTCTCATTCTCTAAGTATTATGTTCTTATATTTGGCAAGATGTCCGAATCTTAAAGGTAAAATGGATTAATACATGAATATATTAAATAAATAAGCTAGCTTGTCGTTTATAATTTAAATTGCAATTGGAAATTGATCGATTTAGACCAAATGAAACCGCTATCTTTACATATGTAAAAATACATAACAATTTTATAAAATTGACTGTTTGCTCCTATAAGAGTTGTGACAATCTTTTGGGGCTGTGATAGCTTAGGGTTGGCCAGGATTCGTCTAAGAAATTATCCGTTTCTTCTCGTGGGACGAGAGAGACCTTGTATTTATTGGACTAGTCAAGCTAACCCGTTGCTAGATTAAAACGCTAGCGAATATGCAGTTAAAGTACATATATTAATAAATATTGAATTCTACAAATTCAAAGATAATGCCGTGCCTTTTTTTCCGAGTCGTCAGTATCTGTGGGGACAAAGACAGGGTAGAAACCCAAAATCATCTTTCACTTTCATAGCGAATGGTCCTATTTGTTTTGCGCTCCGAATTTTTTTGTTTTCTTTGTATTTAAAACAACTGGGATTCAGTTTTATTGTTAACATACAATTTTCAACTTTGCCGTTTTGCTACCTCGAATGCAAGTGCATAGGCCTTTCTGTGCTTAATTAATTCTTTAAGCTTTGCATTCTCTTGTCCCCCTTTTGTGTTGCTTATATCGGCAGTTAAGTTCTAAGCTCTCCTCTTTTTCTGCTCTCCTACGCTTACTCTCCCGTTTGTTCGGCACTGTAGCTGATGTAATTTCCAGTACCATAAAAATGGAAAAAAAAACATATCCTTCTCAACCTCACGACAGGCATGGCAACAGTACATAACTGTTATGTTATGTTATATTTTTCTTCATGCGCCAGACCAGAAGCGAATTAAATGAGTTTATTTTTTTATTTTTGCAAGATATAGATACACTATTTGGACCTTGTGACACCAAGCACTTGCTTGTTCGTGTTAGGTGTTAGTGGGCGCAAAGGAAGTAAATAGAGAAGGATGCGAGGAAACTACTATTTGTACAGAGGACTCTAAAGGGTTCATGCTGTTCAAAGGATGTTCTACAGTGGGGCAAAATGGTATAAAGGATCTGGTGTTTCTACTCGGAACGTGAAAATTTGGCTGACCGAACAAGTCAGCACTTTCCACGACACCGCGGATAAGGTTAGGAAGAATGTAATTCATAGCATGGTTCAACGATTAGATGAAGATGGTAAATTACTTAGTTGGACTCTCCTAGTATACCATGGTAACCTCTGGTTTCACGTATGGCGAAAAGTAAAAAGTTCTTTCGAGCCGATTCTATGCGTCTACTTTGGACGCCATACTGAGAGAACAAGTGAAGTATATTAGGATATTGTAACATAGGGGTCAATGAATTCCTCCGACCACCACACCAATCACACTTCTGGCTTTATTCACCTTGTACGAAATATGATCAATAAAGTCAAGTTTATGGTCCAGACGGACACCCATATCATCAACTATATTAATTCTTTCCGAAGAGCACCAGTTCAGCGTACATATTTTAGGCTTAGGAACGACAAGGGTAAATATCATTATCTTGCAGTTAGGCCGCGCGCACACTACGAGCTGAAAGCGGAGCTGACGGCTGACGGCTTATCAGCTCTCTGAAACAAACACACTACTTGTATGAGAGCGCGCACACCGAGAGCGGAGCTGAGCTTAGAAATTTGCACTGAAATTATCAGCTCGCTTATATCAGCTTTGCTTTCAGCTCGTAGTGTGCGCGCGGCCTTAGAGCCATTTAAGTTCAATAGGTTTTCTCGTTTGAAAATTGTTAAGATCTGTCTGTAAGTCTGACTGCACACAAAGTTTGACGTCGTCAGGTACATAGGTATTCTGGAGTTAGTCTACACTTTGGGCATATCGTTGATAAAAAATAGAAACAATAGGGAACACAAATGACTCCCTTGCGGGACGCTAGATGTAACCCTAAAAACATAAGGAAGTTTATTTTTAAAGACGTCCTTTTGAATCCTGCCATTCAGATAACATGAGATCCAATTAAGGAGATCAATTGGAAGTCCCATTAAATCGAGCTTATGGTAAATTTTCGCAAAGCGAATGACTTTTTTTCGGCGCACAGTAGCGCCTCTCGAACAATTAGCGTTGCAAAAATCGAAAAAGTCATGTTCGGAAAAGCGACTTTAAGCATACTTATTCGACAGAAAATTTCACAAGGATTCAGAATCTTGAATAAAATCTATTTGTTTGTATGAGTGTTTGATAGTGTGAGTAGGCTTCGATGCCTGGCAAAATAGCACATAAACTAATTGCCTTGTTTGTGTCGCACCCAGCACTTGAACTAGGTGGACTGCAGTTGGAGGAGTAAAGATCTCTTTGAGTTGCAGATGATTACTGACTTTATTGATTCAAACTTAACGATATTTATAGCTAACAAAGTGCTTGCATTTACGAATATTAATGATAAAGAATAATGTAGGTTGCTAGTGCATGCGGAAACAAATATGCTTCTGATTACAAATATTGATGTGCAAGAATAATGTAGGTTGTAATGGTATATGCGGAATGAGGCTATTGCTCCATCCCACTTCATCGCGTCAGCAGAATCTACATATGCGCTTGACCTGGTAATTGATACTTTATTTTGGCTGCATATGAGAGTGCTGCGACTGACGAATTACAGATTATGTAATGTTATGATTATGACTTATATATATATTGCAGCGACTGAACATTCTCCCGGCCGTTGAACGGGTGTTCAACCTTCAGTAATGTCGAACGAAAAACTCCGTGGGGTAGGTTCGGGTGCTGGCTGTTCAATTGCTGTCCGGGGATTGGGGCTGCATTGTGGTGTTCTCCAATTGACTCGTCGATATCGTAGACTCAGGGTCACGATCAGTAGTATTGATATTGATAGTGCCGCATAGGCGGCTACTTGATGATGGTGTACAACGCTGACTTGATTTTCGTACTTCGCATCTTTTAGTTTGGCCAGTTGTTGTTGTAGGGCATCTAATTCGCCTAATTCTGCGTCGGTTATCTTTGTTGTCGATTCTCCGACTGGTTTCGGTGTCTCTTCTATGTCTATCTTGGTGATGTTGCCAAAACGAACATATGCTGCCTTTGTCTCGCTGCGCCTTGTGCTAAATGTACTAACACTGATTTTTGAGTTACGAGCCGTGCAACCTGCGGCGAGTGATAGTAAGCCTGTTCCTTCCATTTGTACTGTGGAGGGAACTCCCTTGCATACCGCCTGCAGTTCGATCGGACTGTGGGTTGCAAACATCCATCTGTTTCGTTGATGTGTTGCTGACCATATTAAATCGGACTTCGATTTAGCAGTCTCACAATCCGTTTCAGTCTTGTTATTGAACAACTGAAATTCACATCGATTATCTACGCTAAACGTAGCTTGATGATTGACGCATATGTGTTCATCCTTTGGCAATTGTAGACATTGATCAAACTCGTCAGTGGTTAGTCCCATGAATTGATCTCTATGGGCATTGACAGTTATGATACTTGTTTTGAGCTTGAATTCATGCCAGCTTCCTGCATTCCATGCAGGGATGGGGATGACGCTGAAAACTTCTTGCTGCGCTATGGATACTATTGGCAGCGTTATTTTGAAGATAACATGGTCAGTGGTTGTTGTTCCCTCGGCATGCATGATTCGATAGAGTTGTATTACGTCATTTGAAGAGACTAGCAG